GTCTAGATCACTACAATCATCAGGTCAAATCCCAGGTTGATGTTAAAAGACAGAAGTCACCAGAAGGAGTGGTTTACTGTGAACAGAACTCCCAATCGCTGTCTCAGGTGGCAGTGGCCACTGGTGAGGCCAAGGCTAGTGCTGATTGCGTCCAGCCAGACCTGAGAGAGCCTGAGACAGTGGTGGCAGCTGCTTAAGTAGGGTTGCGGAGCAGGTTCGAGTGTTCTGTTCCTGGTGTGTTGCAATTGCCCGAGGGGGTGTCGCCTGCAAAGGCCCCCTGCTGCGTGGCCATAGCTTGGCGTGTAGCGATCGAGAAACCGCGACTAGCTGGGCACGCGTTTACGTGCGTGTGTGCCCGGGTGTGGAGCACGTGTGTGAGTGAGTGAATATCGGTCAAGTGGTCTTCGGGTCAGCAAGTGGAAACAGCCGCCTGCGAAGACACATGACGTTAAGGCCGCGGGCATTGAAGAACGAAGGGGGATGGACAGACATTATGGCTGTCCGCCACATTTTCCCTAGCCGCCGTACTTACAACATGGTGCCCGGACGCCATGCAAACTTTATTTTGACTTGGTTTATTTACCTAAAATCTGTCTTTTTATCATTTCCTTTCAATCACCAAAGTATCTGCATGACACCAAGTTTCAGAACTTCTTCCTACCATGAGTATGACTGTATAACCAAAACTACACCCCACCCCCATTGTCTTGTAGGTTTTTTTCAGATGGCTACCGTGTTTAAGGTCCTTTTGGCCGTTTCCTAACAGGCAGCTATCATTTCTAGACATCTTTTCAGGATAAATTTGAAATCAGGCATCCCAAGAAGTGATATTTTAAGAAAAGACGTTCTTTGAGACAACAAGGTAAATTTTCTTCCGTATATATTCGTGACTGGTTCCCCAACTCGTCTTCGGACTAGAGAGAATGTGCAACGAATAGTTAAAATTTCAACCGTGCAGAAAAAATCAGCAATCGTTTGGAGTGAACGCTGATTGGCAATTGTGGCTTATGTCAGTTCGTATTGCTCGGATCTCGTCACTTCCATCTTTCTTTGAGATGTTTGTACATTCCAGCCAACTCGATATGTCGGTTGATGCATGAATCCTCGGAGTGCATGGCCTTAGGAAATTATCAGCCTTTTTGGAGGGGCAAACTCGTACGATGCGTGTTTTGTCTCATGCGCAGCTGTGACCTGTATCAAGGCTATGCCGGTGTTTTTTTATCGAGTTCTTGTTACGGTCGTCTTTCGCTTTTTGTATCCCCTACTATTACTAATATGCTACGGCCTTTTCGATTACCTTAGATTAGGATAGGTTGCAGTGTAGGCCACATCTCTGTCCGGTATTGCATTTTAGCTTTAAGGTTAACTTCGTCTTACACTCTGTATGCTGGCCTTTCCGTATCCCACTTTTGTATGCCTTGGTTTATTTTACTAATCTTGTGTTCGTAAATGCATGTTTGGTCAGTTTTGCTTTATCAAATCAACACTAGGTTGCATGAACTTATTGTAAGTAATTACTTGTTGC